TAAATTAATTTAACATTAGGTTATAGTCTCTCTCAATTTTTTTTATAATATTAAGATGATAGGAAAGTCGATAGATAAAATTAAATTAACATAGGAAAACGCATTTATAGATTAAGGAGAAGAATTTTTTTTTATATACTTGAAATCTTACTAAATTTTTATTTACTTTATACTTTGTTCTTGTCCTATTTAACGAATTTGATTAATGTTCTTAAAAAGCCCAATTTGGGTGGATCTCGATTTTAAAAAAACAGCCCTATTTTTAGCCAAAGTAATATGAAAGACTCAAGATTTGACAAATAGATGTCAAAACTTTTCTAACACCTATAAACAAAGTCTCCAGACCTACATAATATTATTTTGGTAAAATCGAAATCGGGTCATTTTTTAAAAATTGATCTGAATCGGGCTTTTTAACAATATAATAAATATGATTATTATCTCGTAGAAGAGGCTTAAATTTTAGGCCCGGTCAGGATATAAAAAATATTTTATTTTCACGCCCTGTCTGGATTTAAATTTTATTTTATTTTATAGAGATCTTGAGAATTCAATTACTAATTTTTAAAAAAATTAGCACATTTTATATAGAAGATAAGAAGACATCTCCCCAATATTGCTTACGTTTAGTGTCGTTTAAGAAATAAATTTAGGAAATATCTTATTTTATAAGCTGACTTTTAATGTTCTTAATTAATTTCTTATTTTATAAAATTTGGTCTAGCGAAAATAATTTCTTTTGATAACAATAATCAGATCAATGGATTTACTAATATTACAAAAAATGCAAATTAAAACTATAAAGATTATCAATTCTGAAAAATATAATAAAATAACAATTAGTGGTTAAGAATTGAGTGTTTGTGTTTTATATTGTTTTTAAAAAAGGGTACACAAATACATCATCATTATCTAAATTGAAGTGGTAACTTTTTAAAAAAAGTGCTCAATATGTGAAAAAATATCGCTAAAAAAATACAATAAAAAATACACTATTTTAAATATATTTTACCATTTGAGTTTGACACATTATTTGAAAAAGAACGCAAAAAAACGTCTAAATTTGGAAGCTTTTTAAAGATAAAAGGATACTGATTTTGAAAAATATAATAGAGTAGTATATATGAATAAAGAAAAGGGATTCGAATAAGCCCCATTTTCTCACCCGGTCGCAAGTGTGTAAAAAATATTTCTCCCTTGTAGGCATTGGCTTGGGTTGGATTAGACCAGAATTAAATATTTGGTAGGTAATTAAACAGAGGTATAGTAATTAAGCCCGATAAAATTCCAATTTTAAAGTAAAATAAAATTTTATTTTCCTAAAATTATAAAAGTGAAAATTTAATGTAAAAGTAACTTGTAATAAATAACATAAAGCATCTCTTGACAAATAAAAATCAATCATACAATTTACAAAAATAAATAATTTAACGATAATCTAATATACATAACATTGTAATTTCTAATTTGTAAAATTTAACGATAATCCTTATATTCTTCTTATCTTATCTAGCACGTTGTTCATAGACCTGCCTAAAGTGAGCTAACGTGAACTATAACTAGGCTCACTCATATAATTTTGCCATTTTTTTTCTTGATACCAACAAATCTTGTAACTCAGATGCATATTTATTAAAATGAGTGGAACTACGCCCTAACCAATTTGTAGTATGAGTGAGGTATAGTTATGAGTGTGAAGGAGAAAAAGGTAAGAAAGGAAAAAGTAATACTATCTTCCATATACAAAATAACTATTATTTATTTAGTTAAATTTTTCGTTTAGGCATTGTAGGTATTTTGTAAACATTTAGTAAATATTATGTAATCAGTAAAAGACATATAATGGCATAATAGATTATCCTTATGTATTTTAATTTCACTTTGTAATCGGAAAAAATTATTTATAAAGTTTTATTTCCATCTCATAGTTTATTTCTAACTAATAATCAAATTTATATTCCTTTATCTATTTTAATAGGGTCTATAAAGTTCTCGTCATGGTGAATTTTATACTACGAATGAAAATCATTATCATAAACAACAAAATTTTATCGGTAAGATATAGTTAATTTGGAAAACTAGATAACATTAATTTAGAAACTAACAGTCAGTATTAGACATCTTTTCTTAAAATAGTTTCCATTTAGAAATTAACATTCAATAGAGTATAAGATATTTTTTCTTAAAAATATTTTCCTCTTAGCAGTCATCATTTATTTAGAAAATTAGATATCATATTAGAAAACTAACAGTCAATAGAGTATTAGAAATCTTTTCTTAAAAATAAATATATAATTACCTCTCAAACGCATCAGTCATTCGTTATAGTAACGATTACGGTTAATTGGATAGCTTATCAAAATTGTTGTTATTTCAGTATCCTTATTTATATTTAGATTTTTATCCTGCCAAATTGTTATTGAATTTAAAAGAGCATTTGAGCTTTCATGTTTTAGCCATCCCTTATTTTCAGCTAACGCATTTTTCCAATCTCTGAATCTTTTGTTGAAATTCATCACTTGGGCTACACAATATTTCCTGCATGGAAAACAAAAAGCAGCATCAGCTTCTACACTGTACTCCAACCAGTCTCGATCTCTATACCATGATTTTTGTAATAATCTTAGCCTTCCATTTTCACGTAATTGTTTAATTTGATTTGCTTTGGTTTATTCTAGCAAAGGTCACCTGGGATTTGAATTGAACTTGAATTATTAGAAGACCTTTTTGACAATATATAGGTAATGCCAATCCTAAAGAAATTAGATTTTGCTCATATAAGTCAGGTCAAATAATTTCTCGCTAGGTAACAAAACATAATAGAAATTTATACTAACTATGAGCAGAATCAATTTCAGAAATTTCTGATGTAGTAATACTAGTAGTTTGTAGAGGTTGTAAAGTTGCTTGACATTTGTTGAATTTGAAATAGGAACTAAATGATTGTTTCTACATAATTCTAAAATATTCACCGCTGTTTTAAATAACTGGTTATATTATAATAATAATAATATTGTGATTTTCTCCATGCTCTACGCTCAGCTCAAATTCCAGCAACCCTCGAACCCTGTGGCCTCTCAACAGAGAATAATATACGGCCAGATGGGCTGACATTAATACCATGGAGCATTAGAATTCCATTAGCATGGGACTATACTTGCATCGACCGATTTGCTCCCTCCTTTAATAACAACTCATTCATACGAGCTGAAAACTCTAAAATTAATAAATACACTTCCCTAACCAATTGCAATCTCATACCAATCGTATCCGACACAACCGGTTTTTTTGGCAATCATGCCCTAACCTTCTTCAAATCCCTTGGTAAAAAAATCCGCGCCATCACTGGTGACCCACAGGAAGGCTTCTATCTCTGACAGCGCATATCTATTGATATATGCAGATCTAACTGCTTTGCCATCCACGGCCCTCTTTCTTGACCTCCTCCCACCCAACATACAATTTACTATACTAATTATTATTTTTTTTATTATACAGTGTTTTATATAGATTTTAATTTACAAATAGTTTACATGATATTTTTAATAAACTAACATAATACATAAAAAAAAAATAATAAATAAATAAAATAATAATCATTGAAATAAATACAATTTAATCGTGATACGTGATAATTAAGCGCCTATATAATGTTATACACAAACACACATAAAAATGATAAAATATGAATGAATGATGATTTATTATTGGGTAAAAATAAAACAGGATAGAAAGAGTTTACAAACTAGACATGTTTTTTGAATAAATATTTAAATTTTTTTTAAAAATATAAAAATAATCAGTTAAATTTTTTTTTCAATGTCAGAAAATTATTTTGGGGCCAAAGATTTTTTCTGAGGGCTAATAATTTTGGGAGGCCTGCCTCCCTTTCTCGTGGCTACGTCCCTGCTTACAGGTAAGATTTTATATTATTATATATTTTTTTTTAGGCATTTCCAAATCAAACATAGCAAGATATATACTAAAAAAGAAGAAAGAAGGAAATAATACATTACCATTGGTGTTAAGATAGCTAAATTTTAAAGAATAGTTTAAAATTTTAAATTTTTTGGCTAAAATATTTCTTCATTTATTATCTTATTGGAAATTTCTTTCTAACAGAGCTTTATTGCATATTTGTATTCGTCCTCACATTTGACGAGGTCCATCTTTTTTGGATAATTGTACATAATGTAATATAAATTGGTAATAAGTAATTTTCTCACACCATGCTTTAGCAAAATTATTATATTTATTTATTGAGATCCAATCAAATTAATATTGAGAAAAATTCTTTTGTTTATACATTTCAAAATGAATTTGTAATATTTCTAAATTTCCAAATTTTCTTAAAAAATTTAATTTAAATTTATATGTCAAATTTTAAATGCTTAAAAAAATTGATATTTTTCTTTTTTATAATGATTCATGCCTCGCGATTATATACATTTAATATTTATAATTAATTTATATTTGTGTATTAGAAATTGTCAATATTTTATAGTAGGTATAATAAATTAAAGAAACTATATTTCCCTCCTCCTATCCACAGCAAATTCCCGCGTACGCGCCGCGCCTAAATATCAGTTTCCTTTATATATTTTTAAATTCAGAGTTTAAGTTTGACATCAAACAGATATCAAAGGTTATTTTTTTTCTCTTCCCTTTTCTGATAATTATTTTAGCTATTAAATTGGATCCAAATTATTATTCGCAAGAATTGCCTGCCGGAATTAATTCAAATAGTCTACACTACGTTTCGTGTTGCCGCCTAATAAAGTAACCACGGCCGGTAAAATTTACCAAGTTATTTTTTATAAACGAAACAAACAGTAGTAAGTAATTATTTATTATCGATTATTTTATACATTTCCTTTTTATATACGGCAAATAATTACATAATATTTGCTTTTCTTCCCATATTTCAATTTTATATTCTTATTTATTTATATATTTTTTTCAACATAGTTATTTTATAATGTGTTTTTATAAAATACTTTTTCCTGATATTTTTATTATATTTTTTAAAATAATTATATAATATAATCAATAAATTATATTTCATACAACAATATCGTGATTTATAAGATTCCAAATATAAATAAAATAATTATGAAAAAATACCACAAATAATTTAAATCTTAATTAAAAATAGAACTGAAGATGTTTTAAGAAAAAAAATGTTCCATTATGAAAAACATCATGTTTATGCTGGATACACAATTACCAATATTGAATTGCTATGTCATAGGATTTCTTTGCCTTCAGTTCAGTGAGTATATGATATAAATTAAATTTATATAAATAATATTGTTAAAAGTTACTTTTGAATAGTAACTAATTACAAAATGGACTAGTTACTTACAGCTACAAGTTATATCCTTAAAAAGGTTACTAGTTACATTTAAAAAGTAAATAGTTACTGTTACATTGCAAAAGTAATTAGTTACTTGCAAGTTATTTTATATTTATATAACTCATCATTTTTAATATAATCTTTTTATTATACAAAGCAAAATAATTTTGACATTTTAAAATTGAAATCAACGAAATTTGAATGAAATAAAATTTAAATAAAGAAATAATTGCACTGAAAAAAATATACCAGAATATAATATTAATTTGCACTGAATAAGATATATTACATTTATTTGCAGGAAAATAAAATGTAGTAAATACATAATATAATATTTTTTTTCCAAAAAAATTTGGCCATTAATAAATTTCATCAAAATTTGGGCTATATTTTATTCAAAAATAAGCTTCCCTAGGATAAAAAAACGTTCTACAAGAACGATTGAGACATTATATTAATAAATATTTTAGTAACTTAAAAGTAACGAGTTATTTTTTATAATATTTTAAAAAAATATAGATCAATTATCAAAATTTATTAGTTAATTATATTTTACAAAAATGTAAATTAGTTACTTTAACAACACTAAGAAACTTCATTTTTTGGATCTTCGTCAATGAAGTGGAGAGTAAGGGGGGGGGGGTTATTACTCAGAACAATTAAAATAAAATTTAGCACCCTTAAAAATTTATATATTTAAGCATTCCTCAAACCAGGGCTGTTCCAGCGGCTTACCTTAAACAGGTATCGCCTAAGGGCCATATAAAAAGTGGCAAGTAGAGACAAATCTTAATTATATCCGTATATGAAATGAAGACTAGACAGAATGATATGAAACATGCTATAAGTCTAAACCTGAGAGGCCTTTTCTTTATTGTGTTTTTTGAACAGATCGAAATTCATGCTAAGAGCGGGAATTTTAGAGACGTCACTATTTACAACATTATTTAAATTATTTTTATGAGCGCCTCATAAATTAAAAAAACTTAACTTTTATGCACCACCAGATAGAAAACCGATGCTGATATTTAGGAGAGTTTTTGTTTTGAAATTTTACATTTTATTAATAATCATTAGAAAGGTTGTTTAAAGTTTTAGAGACTATATCGACCACATAATTTTAAAAAAATCGACGGATGTTGATATAGTGAGAAAAAAAAAAAAATATTCATTTATATAATAATATTTAATTTTTAATAATATTTGTACAGTTCAAAAATAAAAAACTCAAAAATATGAAATTAAAAAAAATAAAATACCCATTTATCAAAATATTTCAAATATAATTCAAAAAATCTAAACTATTATTTTGGTCGACATTAATTTTGAATTTAAAACATCTATTCTGAAAAAGACATAAGATTATTTTATGTTGAAATATTGGTTTTAAAATTAATCAAACATTTGACCCAAATACTCCTGAGAAATTTTCAGTTGGGGGAAGGGGGGGGGGTGAGTTTATTTTAGGCTATCAATATTCCTTCGATCTTTTTTCATAATCCATTAGCACTAAATTTTGTTTTCGCTCATTATTCATTGATTCTCTAGTGCTCTTTAAAACCCTCTTGAGTGTAGAGAATGAAACCTGGCAAGAAGTCGTTATTCAGTAATAATTCTTTAAAGGCAATATGATACTTTTTTTTCATACATAATATTGATAACATTTTTTCCAAAATCGTATACATTTCTAGGGCTAAATGCTACTTTTAGAGGTCAAATAGTTTAGGCGAGGGAGCCTCCCCAATGCCTCTCATGGCTGTGGAGATGCTCAAACAGGAATTATTTTAAGTATGCTGATCTTGCTCCTCCCCAGCGATGCCGCTCACGACTAAATTAGTCGCTGGGCTTTAAAAAAAAATAGGTCGGACATGAACATAAAAGATTTGTCAGGTCTGGGCTGGGCGGAAATTTGAATAATTTTCAGAGCCCTACTTTTAGAGTATACATGAAATATGCAACAATTTAATGCAAAAATAAGAAAAACGTAATTTAAAAAAAAATTTAACAACAGTTGTACAAAAAATTAAGTGAGTCGAAAACAAAACTAATAGTGTTGTTAGACGATTCGATTTTTAAAAACGCTGATCCAATATTTTAGCCAAAAAATATTAGGCAAGCCTTGAGAATTTGCTCATAGATGATAGAAAAGTTTGAACCTATATTAAGGAAATCTTGAGGCCTGCATAATATTTTTTGGCTAAAAAATTGGGTTAGCTATTTTTTAAAAATCGAGCCATTTAACAACACCTAATCCTTTATTTATTTTAAACAATAAAATTTACTTATATTATTTTTTCCATCGACACATTATTTTCATAATTATAACTTTTAAAAGTAAAGTAAACCTAATTTTTCCAGTCTTATGGCCAGGATGCACCCGGAAGAGGGGGAGGGGGAGGGATGGTTCTGAATTGTTTTAGTTATTTCTCCGCCTTCGGCAGGGTTCCGTTTATGTAAAATTCTGATTAGGTATTTCTGATTTTCCTGAGTTATTTATTTATTGCTTTTTTTAAATATGTAATATCTTTACATTTCTGTTAAAGTTGGATAGACAATTGGAAGCACTAAATCTAAAATCTATGTCAATACTTCGTGCTTTATTAGTGCCTATATATTATTTTAATCCGTTTGGTAGATAGCAAGAAGGGAAAAATTATTTTCAAAATAACAAATACTGTTAATTGGTATCATGCTAGAATGGAAAATATTGAAGAGATAAATATTTGGTTTGCATTAATATTTAGTGGCTGATTAGTACAATTCCTCAATCAATTTTGCTGAATAAAATAACCAAATTATAAGCCAAATAAAACTATGATACATACCACGCTTTAAGCAACGAAGTCAGCCAAACACATTAATTCTGAAGTTTATATAAATAACCAGTGCATTTTAGGGGTTCGACCCATTTGGTAGATAGTTTAAAGAAAAACGAATTATTAGCAAAAAAGATTGTCAAGATTAACATCATGCAAGAAGGAAAATTATTAAACATCAGAGGGCGCCAATATGTAATGTCTGAATAGCATTAACTAATTCACCAATCAGTTCAGACAATAAACTGAAACCAGTTATAAGCGAAATAAAAACAAATCAATTTATATTTTCAAACATTTGTTATGAATTAGTATTGTTAAATCGCTTGATTTAAGCCGATTTTTAAAAACGGCTGCTCAATATTTTATCCTGAAATAGAATACCCAAGCCTGAAGATTTTGCTCATAGATAGCACATAGGTTTGGACATATTAGCGAAATCTCTAGGTTTATACGATATTTTCTGGCTATACTGAGTTGCCGTTTTAAAAAAATCGGCTCAAATCTAGCCCTCCTAAATATAAAGTTTAAAAAAATTCTTATTTATATATATGTATTACAAAAAAACTCTAATTATTAACGAAATAAAATATTGACTCTAAGTTTATTTATATTATTCAATTCGATAAAATTTTTTTACCTTATTTTATTATTTAGTAATTCACTTTGATTTACAAATTTTCAGTCCAATAAATTTTATTTCCATATAATATATTTCATAATTTATAAATCTTGCAGAAGAATAATCGATTATATTTCAATATTTTATAAATAGAAGAATAATTTGGCGATCTTTTAACACCCTTTTTTTTTACTGTATTTATTTCTTTTCAAAAGTTAATAAAAATATATATATAAATTTATTTATTTTTATATATATTAATAATTACAATAAAGTTTACTAAGCGTTTGAAGCATTAATTCCAAAGCTTAATCCGTTTGCTAAATAAATATGAATAAAAAAGTTATAAGAATTTTTTTTTAAAATTGGCATCAAGATTCAAGATACAAGCACTAAAGCACTAAAGCATTAAAGCAATAATAAAAATAATTAATTGAAATGAATTATAAAATTATATTATTATATTAAAAATCAACTTATACTTTAAAATATGAAATTCAATGTCTCTATAGCTTTAATACTTTTATATAATTTATTTACGCTCGCATAAAAAATTGTCAAATAGACTTATGTCTACTTTAGACTGTAATATAAAACTAAGATGGATTGGTCAGAGTAAAACAAAAAAAGATTATAATAGATAATTTTTTATCTTCATGCACTGAGATTGAGCCATTGTTTAATTACGTAATACTAATTAATAAGTGGCACTAGAAATAGAAAAGGTCAAACATCGATTCTATGCGAATTGTAGCGTCAAACTATTTGTGAAATTGGTGTCTAAAGGTACCCCGTTTTCTACAAAAATGAGCTTCCCTAAACTAAACTAACAGAGGCATTTTATTCAGTAAACAATCATTTTAAACATATATAGAGGTAAAGAATGATGAATATATATATGAATATTTAACATATTAATATTTAACATATTTTAAAAAATAACTTGAAAAGTAACTAATTATTTTTGCCATTATATTCCAAGAAATACAAGTTGCTAGTTAGATTTTATAAGTAACTAGCTACAGTTTATTTTTTCGCAAAACTAGTTACTTGTAACTAATTACTTTTACAACACTAAAGCCAACATATAAATAAAATGTAAAACAAAATGTACTGCCTCTATGCAAGGCCAACTTGTTATATTATAAAGAAAATAAGAAGTATTGACTGGTGTGATATTAATATAAAAATAAACGAACAGAATAAATAAAGAGTCAAAAACATAACTATATTTCATATTAGCATTAAAAAACGAATTGAAAAATGATAATTTTCCCATTTTATATAATATTTTTTTAAACTTATAAAAAATTTTTTTGCGAAAATTTAATCCTTAAGTTTGTTTAAGTTACTGATATATTAATATATAATTCAAGAATATATTTGGTGAGTATTAAACTAATCCTTTTCAACTATTAAAAAGGCTATTTGTATAATATTTATTCTCTATTAAAAATAATTTAGAAAAAGTTAAGAAATCACTAAAAAATATTCCTTTCTTATCTCATATTATATATATATTTTGAAATTTTAGATTAAATAATATAACCAATCTCGAATATTAATAAGGTACAATTTGGTCTATATTTTAAATTCAAAATTTAATATAGTCTAAAAAATATGGACTATTTATTTTAAATACTAAATATTGGTCGAAGTGGGCCCCTATTTTTACTCTTTTTAAAATTACTAAAACTACATTATATTATAGGTGATATAGAATCCATTTTAATTTGTAATCTCGCGATGAGCACTTTATTTAAATTCGAAAAATCTGATTTGACTGGAAATGTACTTTAGCTTGTATAGAATATCCATAATGGGAATTTCAGATAATTTGCCATGAAATTTTTGGACTACTCTAATTTATAATTAATTAGATAGATTTTTTAATGTAAATTGCAAATAGTGTTGTTAACAAAATATTACGCAAGTCTGAAGATTTTGCTCATAGACGATATAAAGGTCTAGACATCTATTAGCGTCTCGAGTTAAGTAATATTTTTCTGATTAAAATATTTAGTTAACCGTTTTTAAAAATTGACTCAAAGCGAGCCATTTAACAACACTAATTACAAAGATACACAAAAGTCTTCACCAAAATTGTTTGAAGTTTAGAGCAGGGGTGGATAATCTATATACATATTTGAATATATTTTCCTCTCTAAATGATTTGAATTTGAGTTTCCGAATTCATAGTTTTCTTTCCATATCCTGATACGACATAACCATTCCGGTTTATTATTGCAGTTTTTATTATTTATTAAAATAAATTTAGTTTTTGTTTTACCTTTTCATTTATTGATTCCTTATTCATTAATCTCTACATTCGGTAATTTTACTAGCTATAATTCTTACCATTTAGACTTGCTAAGTATTTCTTATTAAGTGGCATGCAACATTTTGCTCGAATCAAATTTAGGAGTGATGAAGCACTTTTTGCTTTGTCAAAGTTACACCAACATATTCCGAGCCGGCCAAAAATAGATTATGCCAGGGCTCCAATTTGTTCATCGTTTCATGGGCTTGAAATGTTAAATTGTTAATAAGGACGTGAAGGAAGGACTAAGAAGTGTTTTCTCACATATTTAAAAAAAATAAATATTATAATAAAATATTATTTGATTTTGCTAATATAGAAAAGTATTTTTTTTAAAACAGCAGCTATTGTTATATTTTTTAGCAAACATTTATTCGAAACTTTAAAATATATTAATGAGATTTAAATATAATTTTTTTTAAAAAAAAACATAATACTAAGATTTGACTTAGCATTTGGCAGTATTCTTATACAAAAATTAAGCAAGCAATTTTTTTTATTAGTAAATAAATACATTTTTCGAATATAGATAAATGACCTTTCTTATATATAAATAAATAAATATTTTTAAAAAATATAGCTTTCGCGTCAGAAGAAGAAGGCCGATTAATACGAGACTTGTTTAGAAATTACAACAAATTAATCAGACCGGTTAGAAATAGAACTGAACATCTAAACGTACAATTTGGACTTTCCTTAATCCAATTGATCAATGTCGTAAGTCAAATTATTTGTATGCTATGCTCATTACCACTGCTCGATGCCTTTATGGGTTTAAGAGATTTTTTGGCCGCCCATAATATTTATATTTATTTAACCCGACCGAAAATTATTTTATAGAGGTTGCTCGACCCTGAAGATGTTTTCAGCCCGGTTCATTAATTATTTTTTGTGAATTAAAAAAAAAATTGCTTTATTCAAAGATTTAAAAAAAATTCTTGCCTGAAAATGATTGAGCACAAATTTTCAGGCCCGATCCGAAAGAATATTTTATACATGTGCCCATCTTTATTTTTTTATAGTCCGTGCAAAATTCTTACACTCATGTGAATCAACTTGATTGATTCACCCATTTCCATCCATGTCTCTAGGAATGCTTTTAAACTACCTTGCATATTAATATATATTGCAATATTAAAATTTGTAAAATATAATATTTTCGCTTCTTTTTTAAGTAAGCTCCATATATTCCTTTTATAATTATTTACAAGCGAGGTATTTATCAGAGACCTTCATGGGCCTTAATTTTTTGACCAAGCCCTGCCCAGACTCGCAGTAAAAAATTTTTTTAGGCCCATGCCCTGCCCGGCCCGGCCCATATCTAATGTTAAAAAAATTCCCAAGTCCGGCCCAAGCCCATGATAAGTTTCAAAAAAATTTCCCAAACCCGGCCCAAGCCTATATTTAGAAATTTAATTTTTTTATATTTAATGAAAATAAACAATATTTAAATATATTTAGGCAATCATTTTGTTTACAATACTAAAATTTATTAATATTAGAAGGAAAAAAGGCAATATTTCTTTAAATTACTGAAATTTGTTATTATTAGAAGGAAAAAAGGCAATATTTCTTTAAATTAGCAACTGTTTTAAATAATTTAAATTTAATAATTTCAGGCCCAAGCCCAGCCCATTAAAAAAAATTTTTTTAATCCAGGCCCGGCCCAGGCTCGCTAGCAAATATAATATTAGGTACCGCGGCCGGCCCGGCCCATGTATTTATATTTATTATGATTTAAAAGATTCGGCTATGCTTGTGTACTATTTTTATACCTAGAAAATATCAATTATCGTGAAGAGAAAATAAATATTAATAATAATTCAGATTATGCCGACAAAAATATTTAAAGCATGATCATTGATCAATAAATACTATGCATGCAGAAATCGAATCGAATAATCATATTCTTATTTGATTCAGAGTTTTAAAATCGAGCAATTTAGTTAATCGTACTAATCGAATAATGTATTCTTCGTACTATAAAAAAATCTTAATTGTTTATTCCTTTATATTTAATGACATGTGATTTTTGGTTTTCTTCCTACGGAAAATAGGAACTCATACGGTATAGCCCTAGATAAAAACAAATCGAATATTATATTTATTAGTCTAATATATATTTGTTTTGATTTTATTTTAGGATAAAAAGTCACCATCACAATCAAAAAATAATCTCTGCAACCTCAAGTGCCAAACAATAAAGTATTTGATTGTTGATGGCCTTAATTTAGGGGAAAAAAAATTAATTGCACAAATTAATTTCCTAATTTTTTCAGATATAATTTCGAAATTAACTAATAATTCAAATATTTATAAAAATTTATGAATAATTTAAATTTATTTATTTATTTATTTTTTTTAAATTGTCAATTTTTAATTATATAAAGAAAACCGTATCACGTCAATACCGCGAAACTTTTACCGCGAAATGTATTATCGCGAATGCATTATCGCGAATATCGATTACCGCGAAAAGATATTATAGCGAATGCATTATAGCGAATGTATAATAGCGAATATATTAGCGCGAATGCATTATAGTGAATGCATTACCGCGAAAATATTATAGCGAATGCATTACAGCGAATGTAATACCGCGAATGCATTATCGCGAATGCATTATCGCGAATGCATCATAGCGAATGTATTATAGCGAATATATTAGCGCGAATGCATTATAGCGAATGCATTACCGCGAATGTAATACCGCGAATGCATTATCGCGAATGCATCATAGCGAATGTATAATAGCGAATATATTAGCGCGAATGCATTATAGCGAATACATTACCGCGAAAACATTATAGCGAATGCATTACAGCGAATGTATTATCGCGAATGTATCATAGCGAATGTATTAGAGCGAATACATTACAGCGAATGCATTATCGCGAATGCATCATAGCGAATGCAATATCGCGAATGCATTACAACTAACATTATCACAATGCAATAGTGATTTATATTTGACAAAAATATATTTAACCCATTTATTAAGCTCCAAAAAACCAGAGAACCAGCTTAATTATCTATATTTATTTAAAGTAGCGTTTTAAAATTATTTACCTTATGAAATTCGTATTTTATTAAAAATATGTGGAATTTGGTATACTCAATTTTTTTAACGATTAGATTAAGTCGTTTTTTACAAAAGACCCTATTAATAAATATTTTAATATTTTATATTTTAAGATTGATTCTAGTAAAAGTTAATTTTTGCCCCAACAAGCCCCAAAGCCCAGGCTTGTAGATTATATTGGTTTATTAAGTCTCCTAGAGGATAATTGTTATTATCAATAATACACCATTTGTATATAAATAATTCATAAAAAATTTCAAAATGTGATATTTTATTTTAAAAAATGTTTAAGTTTTAATGAATTTTTTAATTTTTTTTCTAATTCTTTTGATTATCAACCACTAGAAAAGGAGAAAGTTAAAGGGAAAAAAATAGAATTTAAAGCTATAATAGCCAATGAATACTTATTATATCATATTTTTAAGCATAATATAATTAATTCGACCTATTTCTACTAGCTCCTAGTTACTGATATGATTAACCCTTTCCAGCGCTAAAAAAATATGTTGATAATTTTTAAAAATTTTTAAATAAGATTAGTTGAAGGAGAACATTGGATTGATATCTCTACCTTATTAAATCTTTTGTAATCGTCAAAATTATTAATTTTATAGCTTTAAAACATAAAATCTTATTATTTTTAAATTCAAATGCTTTATATCATTCGAACCTTCAAAAGTAACTTTTTACACTTTTACTATTTTTCAAAAATAAAAATTAATATACAATTTTACCACACAAAAATCATCTTATATAAAAGAAAAAATCCTATTTTATAGAATAACAATTTACCCGAACAAAATTGATAATATAAATACTTCAAAATATGATCTTAATCAAAGTGGTGCTACTGGGGCTATTTTTATGGGGTTAGGTCGAACCTTTTTTTTTGCTATTTTTTAAAAATTTGACATGCAAAAAAAGCCAATGAGAGACCAACTAAAAGAAAAAAAATCAAAAAATGTTATTATATGATAAATAATTGTTTGGTATACAAATAAATTATATCAAGCATAACAATCAAGACTGCTTTCAAATGGCTTTGCAATTTTATTGTTTTTTTATTTGCAAAGATTGTGAATGTTTTAAATGATTTTATATAACACTTTTATGTTTTAAATCATTAAATATATCCTAATAAAAAAATATATAACTTTTATATATGGAAAATTAAACAGAGTTTATAATAGCCTCGACCAAGGGCTTGTTCGTCCCCGGGTAGGGTTCACCACTCGGTTACCAAAAAAAATTCCAGGAAAAATGATATTTTGAAAAAATTATTAGAGATGTATTTTTGAAATTTAAACATATCATAAAACTAATAGAGCTGAACAAAATGAGATATTTTTTATTAAAAATGATAAAGTACTTATAATTTTCTTAAGGTTTGCCTTTAGGGTTCGCCATAACCCCATTCTCCCCTACAAGTTTTCAATAAATTAAAAAGAAAAAACTTGATGTTTAATATTTAAAATGATTAGATGAAAAAGAGAAATCTATTTTATTACTTAGAATCTTTTTTATATATTTTGAGTCAAAAAAGAGAAAAGCCTTAGCCTTAATTTCAATAAAAAAATGTTTTTAGAGCCAATCCCCATTTTAACTTAATTTTCAGATTCAACTAAGTCAGTCGAAAAGTCGATAAATATAAAATTGTAACTTTCATGAAACTCCATTCGCGATATGATAATGCATTCGCTATAATGCATTCGCGATAATTCATTCGCTATAATGCATTCGCTATAATGGATTCGCTATAATGAATTCGCTATAATGCATTCGCTATAATGCATTCGCTATATGTATTCGCGATAATTCATTCGCTATAATGCATTCGCGGTAATATATTCGCGATAATGCATTCGCGATAATTCATTCGCTGTAATGTATTCGCTATAATACATGCGCGATAACATTTTCGCGGTATTGACATGTAACCATCAATTTCGAATAGAAAATTTGATAAAACAAAAAATTGTGCAAATAGTTTATAATAATATTTAACTATTTAAAATTTTAAAACAAATTTAAGGATCTTTATTTTGTGTATATCCGAGATCTACACCGACCTGAACCCAAAAAGTTATATGACTTTGAAAATTTTGGGCTAACACAAATTGAAAGATTAAAAAACCAGGCTGGGGTTAATTTAAAAAAGTAAGAATCCAGGCCGATTTATAATTTAAATTTTTTTAAATATCAATTAGCCAATGGAGGAATGTTGGAAAATCTTATAATGATAAAGCGCTTAATATTTATTTACCGCTCATATTTTTACTTTCCCGTTTAAACAATTTGCTAAATACAATTAAAATTATACAAACAAAGAAATTTAAAAAATTCTTGGTCGAAATAATGATCAAAAATAAAAATCCGGGCCGGGTGAAAATAGTTTTTATTAAATCCAGGCCTACTCGGGTTTGAACATGAAATCTTTTTTTTCAAATTCGGACCAAGCCCAAAAATTTTGAGATTCGCATGTCTCTGATTAAATTATTTTTAATTTATTCCTGTGAACGAAAAGGAAATAAATCTGTTTAGAAACAATTACCCTTGTGAACCTAGATTAATGAATTTTGTTGTTTATTCAAATCCTAAATATCAGTAACCATTCAGTGCTAGATTTAAAAAAATA